GCACTCCTGCGTCAGGAGATCGAGCGTGGCGTTGAACGCGTCGATCGACCGCTGTCGCGCCTCCGCGCCGGGTGGCGTCTCGCGCAGCCGCTCCAGCTCCTCGCGCTTGGCCGCGAGCGCCGTCCTCTGGGCCTGTGCCTCTTCGACGAACGCCACCAGCAGGTCCTTGATTGTGCACCCGAGTAGCGGGGGTGAGGGTCTTGGCGACGCTACACGGGCGGGCGTTGGGGGGGGGGTGAGGGTCTTGGCGCTGCACGGTACCTGGGGCGGCGAAGGGGAAGTGGTGGCGGCCAGGCGGTCGACGATGGACTGGAGGGAGGTGGTGTGGTGCGCCTTGAGCTGGCGCAGCTCCTCTTCGAGCTGGCGGGCCACCTTGCCCCCCTCGCACCTAATCTCTTCATCCTTGAGGCGCACCTGACGCCCCGCCTCTTTCAATTGATCGACCAACATGAGGCCCGCCGCGGAAAGGCCCTCCAGCGCTTCCATGTAAGCCGGCCGCTGCATCAGCATCTGCATTTGTGCCATTATTCATTCAATCCGGTTGTTGTGATTATCGTAGTGAATCCGTTGCCTGGCGCCAGTTCTTCGTCCCTTTCTCGCATTCGTGACATTTAAATATGTGAACAATCCTTTCGCGCTGACACACCAACGTTGTTTACCGCAATTCGTGCACGATGGGCCTGTAACGACATTTGCTGAATCCCACAACTGATCGATTGTTATTGTTTTTATTTTATTTTATTTTTGTTCTGGACTGCCGGTTGGCTGGCACGGCAGCAAATTAGGCAGCACGGAAAGGTTGTACGACATTCACACACCACTTTGCTGTTGTCTCTGCAGGGCCGTTTTGCACATCTTTTATCAACAACCTTGACAAGATGAAGTTCGTTCTGTTCGTGCTTGCCTTCTTCGCCGTCGCCGTGGCCTGCATTGCCGCCATGCCGTACCGCTTCTTCTTCCTCCTCCTCTTCTTTGGCTCTCTAGAGAGTTAACATCCCCCCCCCCAACCAACCCATGATTTAATCATAATCAGTGAGAGCGCTTGCACCGTTGAACTCGGCCTTCAGTGCGCTGGTGCGATTGCCAAGTGCTTCGATCAGTGCAAGGCCTTCGTCCAGAACCCCTCGGCCTGCTTCGACTGCCTGGGCTCCAACGTGGGCACCTGCTGCCCCTGCCTCCAGGCCGCCTTCCCCGGCCTTCAGTGCTAAGCGACTTCAGCATTGCTGAACGGAATGGAAAGGTAGGAATGGAATCTGCTTTGTTTATAATCTGAAAAAGATTTCCATCTCCATTTCTCTTTCGATCTTTCTTTC